TCAGATGTGGCACAAGGCCGAATTTAATGTGGGGTATCCGAGCCTGCAAGTTCGGCCAAAAATTCCCCGAAGAACCCGTATAAAAAAGGGTCGGGTAGCTGTTTCCCGAGACGAAACTCTGCCCTTCGACATAGACTCATCTGGGAATCCTCTCTGCCCGGAAGCAGTGAGTTTGAGCAGAACAACTGGAGACGAATCTCCAACTGCAGGATATCTACCAACCGCCCCACGCGGTTAGATATAGCACAAGGCCAAATTTAATGTGGGGTATCTGAGTCCGTAGGCTCGGCCAAAAATTCCCCGTAGACTGCGTATAAAACGGGGTCGGGTAGCTATTTCCCGAGAGGAGACTCTGCCCTTCGACATAGACTCGCCTAGGGATCCTCTCTGGCCGGAGGCAGAGAGTTTGACCAGGACTGCTGAAGATGAATCTCCGACTGCAGACCAACATACAGAATTTGCTACTGTATTTATGTGAATGGGGACATACCCATTATCGTCCGTATGCTCAACTAAATTGGCAACTAAATCTCACCGTTTTACTGTTGAACTCGCTAGAAGTAACCACCACTTCTATTCAACAGTTTATTTTCTCGCACTTCTCATCCCTGGTATTCCCTCATGATTTCTTGCTTCCCTAATAACAACAATATTCAAAAATTTAAACACTGCGTCAATCGTCATATTCCGTTTTTCCTGAAACCCGCCGCGTTATTGTCCTTTTTTTTACATCTTCTCAATAATGTTTTCCTTTTTCTTTGTAAATCCCACACGATGACCAGGAATATCACTAGAATTTGCATCTTAAATCATGTTTATGAATTATTTATAAAATGATGGTTAAAATGGCCTTACTTTTCATAGTGTTCCATGTTACAGCAACATTCCAATCGCTAAGAGATTTTACAAAAATCAAACTTCTCTAAAACTGTAACAAAAATGAATCGAGGTTATATTAAATAATAACATATCTTCTCTAAAGAGGTCGTTTTCTTAAGTAATAACAATTAGAGACATTGAATAATATATTAAACATCGTCTTGGGTATGGCAATAAACTACACCCGGCGGCAAAGCCTCTGATTGGAAGGTTTTGAAATGTTTAAATGCTGTTGTACATAGGTCTACACTGACCCAGGGTGGTAGCACTTATTAGGGTACCAGCTATGGGCAAAGAGTTAAACAGCGAACTCGAGTTAAAATAATATTAAATTATAAAAATGTTACATTAAAAATACCATCAACACATTTTCATAGTAAAAATTACATTAGACCTATGTAAGGAAAAAAAATACCAGCTATACATTTGTGTAAAAAAATACTAACAATATATTTTTTTGTCAAAGAAATTACTAACGATCCCAAGAAAATTAAATTCTAGCCCTAAAGCAAAGTACACCCCTGTGCAAATTAATGGAAACCAAACGAATAATTCCATTATTTTTTTTTTACTTTTTTCGTATTTTTCCAAAGAAATATAACTCAGTGCACATGTTAGGACCTCGTATGTCCATTCCTCGAAGTCGGTCCTTGCAGGGTGAACACAGATTCCCGATTGCATTTAAATCAGAATTTCCAGACTATAGTACTTTGATTTGCTCACTGGTTAGGCTTTGCAGTGTGTTCTTGCAGAGTTACAATTTTCATACGCTTCCTTAAAGTAACATCCACCGTAGACAATGGCCGGAGGACAGCTAATCGACAGTCCAGACAATAGTATCTGGGCGTGATAAAAATCTGAAGCAATCAAAGATAACGCAATATTTTTCAAATGTTACCATACACCCTGAAAAGAGATTGATATTACTCAACACCACTGCAGATAGCCTAATCTGAGGAAAAAGAGGGAAATCGATTACACCCTGATAATAAATAATTATAAGACAAAGAACAATGCACTCTTTAAGACAGTGGTCTCTATCGGCGAAAAACAGAGAGATATAGAGGGCCAGCGGAGAGTGATGAGATGATCGTCTCGTACCGAAGGAAAAGAAAATACGTCCATTAAACTCTCCATCCACTTGTCTATGTTTTAAATCTGACTCGTTCATGCATAGTAGCAGGTTAGAATCAAAATAAAATTTACCTACCTAAATAGTCTCATTGTTTTATTTCGTCAGTAAAGATCTGACCAAAGAGTTATTTTAAGCCACAAGCGTCTCACGGGAAGAAGCTGCACCATGAGAGCGAATCTGTTCTAGCTGCAACGCCACACGTGTATACGTCATATAATTAGCATACAATCAATTTCTTAGATCATACTTATTATAAAACCCAGGTTGTGTGTGTGTATGTGTCTGTACGTTTATATATTGATCGGATTTCCACATTTTTTCAACCGATTTCAACAAAACTTCACAGGACTACATAAAATTACCTTGTGGTGGTTCTAACAGCGCCAAAATGGGAAAAATATAATTGTTTTTGCACAAAAATCAATTTGAAAAACACGATTAAGAGACATCGTGAAAATGGAAGGGGACAACTCACATCGGGTTGTTTGTGTGTGTGGGTTCCTTTAAATATGGGAGCGGATTTCCTATATTTTTCAGCCGATAAAACAAAACTTTAATGCTTTAAAAATTCCATTTACAAGACAATTATTTATAATAAAATTCTATTCAATCGGGAGACTCATAACGATTGAAAACAATGTTTTTGTTTGAGTTTGGGTTTGACCAATTCGTAAAAAAAAAAAAAAACTAATTAAGACATGCGTGTCCGTCAACCTTAAACAATAATCTTTGTCAATTTTATTTTTCAGTCTTTATGATGGTGGATACTTGATCTATCTCTTACTGTTATATCCCCGGGCAACGCCGGGCACTACTGCTAGTAAATATATATAAATGTTTTCGAGCGAATGAAACCATAAAGCTTTTCGTCGGGACTTCTTGTGCTATCCTCTATCTTTATACGAGCCAGATACGACAGTTAACGGAGGACTGTTGTCATATTTAGGCAGGAGCTGTTCAGTCCACAAACTCCCGTCTTGATAGAGTTCAAAACTGTCTCCGAGTCCTTGTGGGCGATGAATTATTTTCCCATCCCCAACCTCTCTCTCACAGTCGAAACGCGCTAAGCCTTTGTTATATACCGAAACTATGAACACTAATGGGTATATCTCAATCCTCATAAATACGTTGGTCACTATTGTAAGTGGGAGTAAAAAGGTGTTTAAGTAGTCCACCACTAGAAGTGGTTTATCTATTTAATGCCGCTGGCGAGTATTGTATTGCACTTTGTTGATGTTATAAAGATTACCATTTCATTTTCCGACCTCCGTTTGGGTTATTCTTTATTCAGTAACCCTTTCTAGATTACAACAGCCTTTCAATGTTCTATCGCTTCTTCCCTGGGAGTTTCTCGGACGAACTGAATTGCTTGGTTCAGCCAGGTCTGACCTTCTCGGCTAGGACCCGCCATACCATGCATATTGTCGAAAGCCACTCACATTCCACCCATATTCTATCGGTAAAAAGTTTCACTTGAACAGCTTCTTACCGCAAACCATTGCTCTTTGGAACCGACTCCCAAGAAGAAAATTTCCCCGATTATCACAATATTAACCTGTTTATATCTACAGTTAACAATTATCTCCCCTTCTTAACCGTATAAACAATTTCTTAACGTAACACTCTACCACGAGTCACCTCCCGCATATTGTACGAGGTTAACCTTATTTTAAATTAAAAAAAAACGGATGAGTGAAGAGATTTTTGTTCAGATATTCTATGTTTTCGAGGACAAAAGTGTTGCTGCCGACACTGGAGTTTGAACACAGATCACCCGAGAGCAAACACGGGCGAACCCATTTTGAATAAGTAGATCACGTGATGTTAAAAGTAAATGTATATATGGGAATTAGCGTGGCGTCTAAGTGATCCCTATACGGATTATTACTTTAGTGCGTTGTTACACATGAATTTTG